CTTGGCAGTCTCAGCATTTGTTCCTGCACAAGATTAGATTCAACTTTATTGTTATTGCACATATTACAGGTACTGAGACAACGAAATGCAGTTTAGCTTCCAACCAGGAGTGCAACAAGCAGTAAAGTGAAAAGTAATGTACACAATTTACAGAATAAAATATAGAAAAAATTGAATGATGAATAAATAGTGAGGGGTACAAGATTATACACAGCAGCCTGTGAGCAGTATGAACAGTGTGTATGAATATGCTAGGATATATAAAGTATGAAAACGGTAAGCAGTGCAAGTATAGTATAACATATATAGATATTAATTTCATGATGATAAACATTGTGGAACAATTATGAAAAATGTTAATAGAGGGGGCGACGTAAAACTGACACAAAACAACAACAAACTTTTGCCGAGCCAATTGGAGAGTTTCATCACCAGCACGTGGTAAAAACCACCAATGAGCGCTCAGCTCGAGATATCAGCGAGTTATTTCCCATCAAGCGTTTCGCTTCTGCAGCCCGTGGAGAGGAACTGCGCCGCCTCGCCTCGCTCTCAAGGCTGCGGGCGTCTTTGTCCCGCGAGATTTCAACGTCTCATGTAGGCGAGCCTCCAGAGCAAGTCGGACAAAATGACTAACCATCATGCAATGCACTAGCAAGACGTTGATCGAAATTGCGCAGGTCTGCGCAGGTCTCGCTTGTCTCAAACAAGCCTAGTGTTAGGATGGCCCACCAGTGCAGAAATACCCGGATGTTGACAAGCAAGCCTCTATCACGACTTTTGGTTCACTATAACACACAGTTTTGTGGAGAATACGAAGATTTATTCAGTTCTTGTCAAGCAAATGTATATGTACTACGTATGTTACTAAAGAGGTTTTAGATGGCCAGTGTCCATGTGAAGTTATCGTCATCTCTCGGCGTGAAAATAGTATTTCCAGTGTTAGCATTTTCATAGTATGGTGGTAGCTAGACGCAGCTCTCGCTGCCGGAAATGAGTTTTCTCGTCACTGTCCAACACATTCTCACCCCCAACTCGTCCTTTATGTCAGGATCCCCTTTAGCGTACATTTTCAACTATCAGGGAGTCCCATTGACTTGCATAGAGCGACACTCCCCCCCCCCTCCCCTCTCTCTATCCTATCGGAACCATGGATCGCCAGCTATTTGTTTACGTGTTTAAAAAAGCAGGTTTTTCGTGCCCCACCACTTTTGTACATATAAAAACCCCACTGGGTATCTCCCTCTCTGTACTTCCTTGAATTTGAAAGAATCTCATATCGTTTTATCAAAACTATAAATCACAATCAACTCGAAATGCGGCGCAGCTTTTACGGGCTTCACGTAATGCCCATATTTCCCTATAAATAGTCAAAGAAACGCCCCATATTAATATTCATTTTGACTGACTGAATGAAGAAGATCGCAGGAAATGACGACAGAACAGCTAAAAAAGACATTTGGGGAGGTCGAGATAAATCATATTGTTTGGTGGATGCAGTTTGAACTAGAGTAGCAGCATGGAGGTCGGATCGTAACCAAAATAAATAAGTGATCCGAAAAAAGTTGATAACAAAAAAAAAACGTCAGTTTAAAGTAATTCTGTCCTTCTGCTTACCGCATAATTTATGAGAATACATTTCTTAACAAGAGAACATAATCAAGGGGTGATCAATAACATTTCAGTATTTATTTATTTCTCCAAGTTATGTTTTTGTGAGCACTGAGGAGTCTCAAACAGGCGTTTGTTTAATCATTTTTAAGATTGGCTTTAATCAATTTGTGAAAATGAATTCTTCATATATGATAAATGAGAGGTAACATTTTATTTATGGTATTATTTCCACATATTTTTCTCCATTCTTCCTTCTGCCAACGGTGTCGCAGTTTCTCGTCCCTCCCGTTTTTGTGCGTACCGCGTACGGATGGGTCAGAGTGTGCGTGGAGGACCGCACATTTTCCCAAGTTTCGCAATCACAAGGACATATAACCTGGTAAGGACTTCATGTATTGTTACTTAAATATTATATATTTTTAATTCAGGCGGGTGTCTCACTCCTCCAGCTGGTTGGCCTGGCGGTCCAGGTCTTCAGCGTGGTCATCAGCCCTCTGCACCAGATCTCTGTCAGCCAGCACCAGACGCTCAGTCTTCTCCGTCAGCTTTTGGCCGGCACCATCAATCGCTGCATGGTACTGACTCACGTTCTGACAAATGTACACATGCAGACTCAGACACATTGAACATATATCATTCATAAACTATTTGAAAGCAATTGGTAATTATGTCAGAATCTACAACAGGCGTATCTCTGGACTATGCAGGGCTGATCTCCGTTTCATTCTAAATAACCCCCGTAGTCATGGAGGCCTCACCTGCACCATAGCCTCCATCTCAGCCACAGTCCTCTCAGTGTCAGAGATGGAGCCTCTGGATGTCTCCAGTGTGTCGTTGACAGCAACGTATTCCTCTGTCAGCCTCTGCTTCCTGGCCTGGGGACAAAAGGTGAAAACACAATTAAGAATGTATTAAGTTTACAGCTAATCTAAAATAGGGAGATAAATGAATGTGAAATATCTAATCCTTGGCTCCTTCTTGATTGTTAGACACAATTTAAGCTTCTGTTACTTTTTTTATTAACCAAGATGTAATATGATAACTTAAGTATGGTTACTGTCTTTATACTATAATGGCGTCGACAGATGAAAAACTGTGATATTGGGCTCTGATTGTGGCCTAGTGGTACACTATATCCTCAGTACCTTTGGTTGTTTCTGGCCTGGGACTTTAGCTGTCATTCTTTATAATGCTTTTATTTCATACAGTTTAAAGAGAAGGCTCTTCTTGTAGGAGGTATGTGGTTGGTTGTTGCCTTCAATGTGTTTGCATGACTGACCAACGATGAGAGAATTTGATTGGCTGTGGTAACCCTGCAGTGCCCCAGATTAGGGGAGGCTCAATATTTGGTTAGTGCACCATTCATGGCATTGATTTACAGCAGAGACCCTGATCATGGAGATCCCTACTCCTGATAACACATGCTCAACCCAAAAGACATGAATACAGACACACAGGCAGATACACCAAGTTCAGCAGCAGCTGTTCTGCTGCAGCTGAGCCATAATGTCAACCAGGGCATGACCACAACTTCCTGGAGTCAAATTCCTACAAATTCTTACATAGGATTATAGGAGACATAAATCAACAAATCCAGGGAACAACATACAAATGTACTCTCAAAGACTGAGAGGTCCATACTTGTGTTGCATATTTGTTATTTTTTTTCTGCCAAATGATGTGCACTGCGAACCTTTTCCCATGGCTAATATTTTAATGTGAGTCATTCCATGCAGCAGAAGGTCTCTAAATCTCATTATAAACCCAAA